CCTCCCTGACAGAGCTGAACCATCCCGGGTTCACCTGTGCTTGCTGTGAAACTCTCAATCCAGAGCATTTCCAATTGCTGTTTTTTTGTGGGGGTGGGACCAGCCGAGCCTGATCACCTGACTCCCTGTCTCAGAGCCTTTTTTTTTTTTTTTAGTTGAACGGTCGACTGTCTCCCAGGTGTTCCAGTTGCCTGTTGAAAAGGCACCGGGATCTGTGTGATTTACCATGCAGTGACCCACTGTGCCGGCTGAAACAGCTGAATTCGTGGCGCTTTTTTGCCCAGGAATCTCCTGGCCTGGCTCCCTGTTTCAGTCCCCTTTTTAATCAGATGAATGGGCAACCCTGTCAGGAGCTCCAATCGCCAGCTAAAACAGCGCCCGGACCCGGGTATTTTGTATGGAGAACTGCCATGCCGGGGCACCAGCAAAATAGCTGCGCCGGCCAAAACAGCCATGCCGGCCAAACCAGCCACGCTGGCAACCCATGGGGCTCCTCCACCTGGGAAACTCCTGGTCTGTGGGCAATAAAAAACCTTCTGGAAATGTGGTGTCCACTCACCCTCCAGGCTTTCGCTGGGAGCTGCAATCCTGAGCTGCTCCTAATGGGCCATCTTGGATCCCTCCGGGAGTGGATCTTATGATTGACTGTTTCACCCCATTTCCCCTACCTCGTACAGTAAAACAGAGGGTACAGTATTGGACATGCTAAATGGGAATGAATAAGATTGCCTGAGCTCACACAGTAGAGAACAGAGAAGCTGAAGCACTGGTATAGACAAATTCTCTGTATGTGGAGTATGGGCTGGAATTTATGTCAAAAGCCTGTGAGTGCCTCCCAGTGACAACTATCAGGGTGCTGGACTAGGGAACTTCCATTTTAGGGGCAAATACTAAGTTTGCTATTGGATATTAAAAGTGCCCCTATGACTGAAGGACATATAATAATGTTGAAACTTGAAATATCCACGGTATCTAGGGGGATTTTTGGAAAAACATTCTAATGGGAGAGGACAGTGCCCAAAAGAGTTCCCTAATGAAAAAGAAACGGTTCATACTGGATCTTGTTACCAGAGGAATGCAAGGAGATTCTCACATATAGGGAGCCTCTTTTTCCCTAGGACTGACTTTGGAACTGTAGAAGAAGCTCCTGCATTTAATTGCCACTTGGACAATGCCCTAAAAACACCTCTCAATTGATCAACAAAGTACTGCTTGGTTTACGGATGGCAGTTCCAAGGAGAACTATGATGTCCACTTGCACATATCTAGCCATCTGTGATGAGAAAGCTCCCAACTTTTTAAAGAAAACTTCAACTAGCTTCCACTTTCTGACAAGGTTTAATTCAAATACAACTCATAAGAGGAATGAAAAGAACAGAGAGAAGGCAGAGGAGCACCGCAAAGGCACAAAGACATGCAGTGTGGTGTGGGCAGTGAGTACCGGTTTATTTCCACTATGAAGAAGCAAAGGAGGTAAGCAAGGCCCAAAAAATGTTCCTTAGACTTTAATTATTGGTATCAAAAGTCAGAAACTAGTGTTTAAATTCCCCTATCTTTTATTCTTCCACTAGTTCTTTGAAAAGAGAATCATACTCTGATCTTCATACTGTGCTGCTCCAGGTATTTCCTGATTGCAGAACAAAGTGCCCATTTCTGATCTGGGGTCCTAGAAAAGTCCCTTCACTTCCTGGGTACATTTTCTCTACTTAGAATTTCTAGCTAGTTATCACTGCAAAGTGACAGTGATACATACACTTCCTAATTAACAGATTGAATTGGTTTAAATGGGCTATGGATCAGAATTTCAAATCAGTCTAGAAGGACATTTTTATCACTGAAATCCATCTACTTTGATTCACTTTGGGTTTTCATGGTAATTCTTCAGCACATGCAATGCTTTGAAATTTATGGCATACCTTTATCAGTGAGTAAGAAATGAAGTATCACATGTTACTAAAACTCCCTTAACACAGGAAGAGTAAGGAGGGCACCCAAGTATAAATCAACTTATTTCATTCATTTAAATAAAATATTTTTCTCTAATAGAAAAGACATTGTCAATATTAAAATCTAGATTTACATAGAGCTTTCATTTTATACTCTACAATTATTTTGCATGACACCTTTACAACAGACCTGCAGAATGAGTTAATCATTTAAAAATAAATATTGAAACAGATAAGAAGAGGTTGAGTGCAGTGCCCAATACAGTTAACACAGTCTTAAGTATCTGAAAAAAGACTGATCCAAACCCAATTCTTAGTAGTACTACATTACTTACTGATTGTATCATTTTGGGCAGATTACTTAGTTAACCTGAGCCTCAATCTCCTCCTCAACAAAAAATGCAGAACAGTACTAACTCACTGTTGAGAGGATTAAATGTAGGGAAAAGATCCAAAACATACAATGCATTTTTGTAGTACAATTCCTAACACAGAGTGATTTTAGTGAATGGTTATAAATTTACTGTATGGCACTTTTTTTGGGTATGACACTTTAAATTTAAAAAAAATCTAGCTCTATAATTTCAGGATGAACTCCTGTTCTCAGCATACAAATTACAAAAAAAAAAGTGTATAAAACCATATCCATAAATGCTTATTCTTCATTTGAATAAATTGGTAGGTATTAATGAACTAAAACTCCTGAACAAACTCCATAAAACCAAATGGGACAAGCTAAGCAGTGGCTCACACCTGTAAACCCTGCACTTTGGGAAGCTGAGGCAGGAGGATCGCTTAAGCCCAGGAGTTTCAGACCAGCCGGGGCAGTGTAGTAAGACTTCATTTCCACTAAAAATAGAAAACATTAATCAGGTGTGGTAGTGCATGCCTGTAGTCCCAGCTACTCAGGAGGCTGAGGGGTGAAGCTTGCTTGAGCCCTAAAGCTTGAGGTTGCAGTGAGCTATGATCATGCCACTGCATTCCACCCTGGGTACCACAGTGAGACCCTGTCTCAAAACAAACAAACTAAAAAGCAGAAACAGGAGAGCTCAGGACAGACCACAAACAGTGAACCATAAAGTGCTATTTAAAAGAGGAAGCGTGGAACGGACACGGTGGCTCACACCTGTAATCCCAGTACTTTGGGAGGCTGAGGCAGGCAGATCCCCTGAGGTCAGAAGTTTGAGACCAGCCTGGTCAACAGGGCAAAACCTCATCTCTACTAAAAATACAAAAAAAATTAGTTGGGCATGGTGGTGTGCACCTGTAGTCCTTGGTACTTGGAAGGCTGAGACGCAAAAATCACTAGGACCCAGGAGCGGAGGTTGCACCACTGCACTTCATCCAGCCTGGGCAACAGAGCAAGACTCCGTCTCAATTAAAAAATAAAAATAAAAAATAAAAGAGGAAGTGTGGTAATGGAAGGTTTTTTTTTTTTTTCTTTCGGTTTTTTGGTTTTTGCCTCCTAAAAAAAGCATGGTACCCAATGTAAAAGAACATTTTTATTAGGTTCTCAACTCTGGAATAAATAAACTCTTGGCTGTATAATTTTAAAAAGTTTTACATTAAGGCCAGGCACGGTGGCTCACGTCTATAATCCCAGCACTTTGGGAGGCTGAGGTGGGCAGATCATGAGGTCAGGAGTTCGAGGCCAGCCTGGCTAATATGGTGAAACCCCGTCTTTACTAAAAATACAAAAATTAGCTGGGCATGGCGGTGCATGCCTATAGTCCCAGCTACTCGGGAAGCTGAGACAGAAGAATCACTTGAACCCAGAAGGCAGAGGTTGCAGTGAGCCAAGATCTCGCCACTGCACTCCAGCCTGGGCGACAAAGTGAGGCTCCGTTTCAAAAAAAAAAAAAAAAAGTTCTATGTTAAATGTAGCACGTTGAACCTTCACAACTTAGAGATAAGTATAATTTACAGAAGATTATATGGGACTAATACAACTAATTATTATAATAGCTATCATTTAGTCAGTGTCAGTTATACTCTAACTATTTTACATAGGTATTATTTTAATCATCATAATAAATCGGTGAGAAAGGAGAAAAAAAAAAAAAAACCCAACTATTAACCCTACAGGGATGACGCAACTGTCACACAGGATTACCTAACTCACCCATGGGTATAGTTAATAAATGACAGAGTAGATATTTGAACCCACAATTGTTATGATTTCAAAAACTCTAAACCAGGCACGGTGGTATGTGCCTGTAGTCTCAACTACTCAGGAGGCTGAGGTGAAAGGTATGGGCCAAGGAGTCTAAGGCTGCAGTGTGCCATGATTGTGCCTGTGAATAGCTACTGTACTCCATCCTGGGCAACACAATGTGACCCCATCTCTAAAAATGAAACGCAAAAACCAAAGAACCGGCCACCCCCAATATTCTTTCTAACCCAAATTGCTTCTCTGGGTAAAACATAAATAAATTAAACTTTAAGATTCAACAAAATGGCCTTTAAGATTTCTTCTAAGTCTAGAATATAAAGTTCTTTTTTTGGCCGAGAGCAGTTGCTTATGCCTGTAATCCCAGCACTTTGGGAGGTTGCGGCAGGTGGATCACAAGGTCAGGAATTTGAGACCAGCCTGGCCAACATGGTGAACTCTGTCACTACTAAAAATACAAAAATGAGCTGGGTGTGGTGGTGGGGGCCTGTAATCCCAGCTACTTAGGAGGCTGAGGCAGGAGAATCATTTGAACCCAGTAAGAAGAGGTTGCAGTGAGCTGAGACCATGCCATTACACTCCATCCTGAGTAACAGGGCGAGACTCTGTCTTGAAAAAACAAAAAAAAAGTTCTTTTTCTAATGGGCTAAAACACCTGAGGGTATTAAGCTCTAAGCCTCTGTCCCTTCTATCAATTCTCTAATCCCTACCCCATTCAGGGGAAAAAAAGGAGGAAAAGAAGAGAGAATTACTTAAACTTTTTCAGATACGAAAAGGTGATCCATAAGTAATGATGGAAGGAGTGAGTCCTCAGCTTCTGCTGGTGGGAAGGTTCATGCTGAACATTTAGCAGGTGCTGCCTCTAAAGAGAAGTCACTACACTTATGACAGGGATTTTGCTCTCAGTAGTTCAGAGGCAAAATGAACTACAGACTGGGACAAAAGGTGTGAAATCTCTCATTGGTAAAATCACAAATTTGCCAGGTAAAGAATTCCATATAAAGTGTTTCAGCCTTCACTTGCAGATCATGAAAAATATGATGGAGATCCGCAGAATACTCATAAACTGTATATTGTTATCACAATAAAAAAATACAAAAAGCTGTCCATATTGGGAAAAAGATATAATACAGATGCTCAGATTAGAAAACACATATACTCCTCAAGTTCACAAGCATATCTCTTCAGTGAATGCAAAACTGACAGTGGTTAAATAGTTGCTAAGAATCAAGCCCCTGAAGTTGCCACAAGGACTGCCAATTGAGGAGGACATGTCTAAGCTCTGCCTCCAGAGCACTGGGGAATTAATGCAGTGGCACAGTGGCATCTGAAATCTGTGGAGCAGAAAGCAGTTAAGTCCTAATGCCTGAGGAGCTTCAGATTTAAAAATGGAAATTGTTTTTTTATTTAAAGATGATGAGAAAGTGTTTCATTAAAATATATTTTAAATATATTAAAAAAAAAAAAAGAAAGTGGGCGAAAGAAGGAAGTAAAGAATTGAGATTGGTCATTAGAGAATAACTTCCTGACAACAAAAACTGAGACATAGAACACATTATCAAAGAACATTATGTTGGATAAACTGAAGAAAATACAACCTTGTGAATGGCTGTCAACACAAATAGTGTCAACATACACACAAGATGGGGAAGTACAAATATACTCTACTTGGCTCAGCCCCACTTATAATTTAAAATAGAAAAATAAAAAAAGGAAAGTGGTAAAATAAGCTTGACAGTACCAGTCAGGGGATTGCACTACAATTCTGCCAGCTTAAATACAAGTTAGCTAAATGCTAACCCTAGCTGAGAGCAGTGCTTCATGCCTGTAATGCCAGAACTTTGGGAGGCCAAAGTGGGAGAATCACTTGAGCCCAGGATTTTGAGACCAGCCAAGGCAAAACAGTGTGAGTTCATCGCTACAAAATATAAAAAAATTAGCCAGGTGTGGTGGCATGTTCCTACAGTACCAGCTGCTCAGAAGGGTGAGGTGGGAAGACAGCTTGAGCATGGGATGTTGAGGTTGCAGTGACCCATGACTGCACTACTGCTCTCCAGCCTGGGTGACAGTGAGACCTTGTCTAAAAAAAAAAGCTAATCCAAATATTTGTATAACATTTTTCAAAGAATCTATCAAGGCACAGGTACTATTTTGTAATTTCCTTCAATTCACTATGCATTAAGATACAGCATCTCTATTTTCTCTATACATTCATATTCATAAGAGAACAAGTATCCTAGTCTACACTCAACACTGGTCATCACAAATGTACTGGTAAGATAAAATCCATAGCTTGTTAGTTTCTTAAATATGTGTTGGGAGAACTCTGAATGAAAGACACCACAAAGATAACTTCCTTTTGAGATTAAAAACAAAAACAAAAAACCACACACACACATACGCAACTCTGGCAGAACTGTTAGACCTGGGAAAGTCATCTGTCTCATGCCTGCTCACCTTTTCTCTCACTCAGATGAAATGCTCCCACAGGCAAAGATCCAAAGCTGATTGCCTCAGGAAGCTGCAGAGTCAACATTTTCATTTACCCCTTTTCAGTGTTTGCTGAGTTTTGATGTGAACTTTTACTAATCCATAAAGAATGGGAAATCTAAACATTTCTGGTAGTAACAGAATTCTCTCACTCTCATTATTAAAAAGAAATATGAGGCCGGGCGCGGTGGCTCAAGCCTGTAATCCCAGCACTTTGGGAGGCCGAGGCGGGTGGATCACAAGGTCAAGAGATCGAGACCATCCTGGTCAATATGGTGAAACCCCGTCTCTACCAAAAATACAAAAAATTAGCTGGGCATGGTGGTGCGTGCCTGTAATCCCAGCTACTCAGGAGGCTGAGGCAGGAGAATTGCCTGAACCCAGGAGGCGGAGGTTGCGGTGAGCCGAGATCGCGCCATTGCACTCCAGCCTGGGTAACATGGGTGAAACTCCGTCTCAA